CTTTCTGTTAGCATATTTATCAATTTTGTTGAATCACATCAAACAAGAGATCCAAAGCCATTGTGGAAACTAGATTCCTTTATTAATAAGTACTAGTGATTTTTATGAATGCTCAAATTCGATTATCATGATTATCCTTATGGTGCAATCATTTAAAGGTAGCACCCACTCTGTTTGTAAGGTGATCTTATACTGGCATTACATATCATGGGCAATCCTCTTTCATGTAGAATTAACCATTTTTTATGATATAAAACTTATTATACTCAACCTATTAATTTATAATCGCTAATCGCTACTGAATAACAATTCAAACTCAAGCATGCAGTCAAGCAATACAGATGTACGAGAATATGATACCTACATGCCATATTAATTCGAGCCCTCTTACATCTATTTACGGTCTTAAATGGAAAAAAATAGACAAATTGTTTCAATCGAACCCAAATATCGGGCAGTATCCCTTCAAAACTAGTTTAGTGCTGGCATAAATCATGATGACTTCTCGGGTGATTATAGAAAGCCCCTTTTCAATTTTTACTCAATCTTTACAATTTAGACGAACTTGGGATAGAGGGTTCTAGAGTGGTCCTTGCAAAATTCAATCGATTGAAAATAAATTAAGAACATTTACTTGTATACAGGATATTACTTAATTCATAGCTGATTGTCTATCTTACGTTGAGCAGATAATTCCTTACTTTACAGAACCCTTTCAAGGGATTTTAAAACTAAGCGCAAATAGATCATATTAGAATTAGGATCTATGCTATAACAACGCTAATGACTGGTCTTGTCCAATTTTGTTCTGTACTGCATATTTAAAGGTAGCTGATGAGCTCAATTATAGCATTAATTGAATTGTGATAGCGGTTCAAGATCATAAATAGGCGGAGAAAAGGTGCGGTTTATTGATACTCAGATGATGAGATGATGATCATTGGAATGTCTTCATTAACCAATGACAACACGATGTGATAATTATAGAAATTGGTAAAAATATGACATAATTTTCTACTTCATAAAATGCAGCGTAAGCATTTTATGGGTCAAATCATATGACTGATACCTCGATAGGAAATTATAAGTATCAATAAGATCAAACATTTCATTAGACTTTATATTTCCGTACCTTAACCTGATGATTATAATTTATTATGGGTGCATAATGCGGGTTGTTATAGGATATATTTAATCCATAATTATAACCTACAGTATCTCCAACTGCTCAAAGTAACAAGCATGCATATTTACTATTGCCACATGCAATTATATTTAAATGATTTCATTTGAAAATTTAAAGTGATCTCGAGATAGTTTAGGGTATGCGACGGGTTTACCTTAAACAATCAGGTCGTTTTATTCGCTATTTCTACTTTCCGATGAATACCTTTACTATTGTAAGCAAATTGGGCTTCATTTGCAATACTGACTGATCACTGAAAGACTGCTAATTCCCTGTCACGCATTATTTAGGCGTGATTTGCACTTATTAGATGTGGTAATGGTATGACAGTAGCCTTAGCCCGATCGAAAATAGCTACTGAAATTATGTGAGGATATTCTATAATTCTAATTTGTTATAATGAAACTTACAGTAATAGTTTTCATGAAAAAATAGCTTCTATTAATGAATGGCTACTAATTTCTGGAATCATTATCGGCGTGCGATTATAATATAAGGCCTTCCTATATTTCTAGTTGATTACAGTGTAATTTCGCATGATGATCTTTATAATATCTCAAGTTATATTGAGGGATGATTACTAATTACTAGGCTTGGCATTGGTGTGCCATTATATTAAAAAGATGTCCCGTAGTTCTATAAAGTAACTTTACGATGGTGATCTTTATAGTGAGCTATGAAGTATGTTTCAGGTGTGAATTTTGCTCTAAGTTATAATTTCTAGAGGGTAAACTACCGCATATCAAAAATGTACTCGTATTTTAATCAATCGATATCCTACTAGATACTGTAATTTTTTTCGTCTATTTTTGTACGTTAACTCTGGCTGAATGCAAAAATAATGCTCTAGGTGTTTGACATTCATTCATAATATTCAATCAAGTTAGAATATTGTTTTAGATATATAGTATAATAGTTAGGATAGCATCATTTATTTATCCATCTTTGTTCCGCATTAGAGTAGAGTTGAAGATATTTAGGTTTGGTTAACGCTTCCCTAATTAAATGATACGTCTGCAACCTTTAAAGATTGTTCCTAACTAGTGAGCTTTATATCAACATATTATCGTAATAGAGGGCATACCTCTACTTAATGATAGCATCATGACATTATGAAATCAAACCTTACATGACTAATCCCGTAGAGCTAGAAAAAAGGATCATCGAGGATAATTTCAATACATTGATCACTATAATGTTACTATCTGTTCAATGATGACATCATGTTTGATTTTCATTTTGGAAACTTATCAAATATTCGGTGGCCATATTGGCTAACTGTGTCAATAATTGTTATCATTCCTCAAATCATACGTTATTATGTCAATAAAATGTGATCTCTCCCTTCTTGATCAATATAATCAACAAGAGCGTATAAGCTAAAGGTTGATCAATATCATTATCGGTAGTATATATATATAGTTTAAAGGCAATGATGACTATATAGGTAAAGGGACGAAATATTAATTACTCTCATTACCGGATAATAACAAGACAATTTATAGATTATCCTATCGATTTGAAGTTATATCAATGTTGATTGAAATAAATTTGGATTCAGCTATTTCCATGATTGGAATATACATTTCGTAGCTAAATTATAGTTTGTAAACAATTCTATAGCCTCAATAACATCTTTAACATTGCATGCTTTCAGATGATGCAATCAAGGGAATTGTATAATTTATTGCCTTGATTAGTATGCAAGGCGTTATGAGGGTACTGGATAAAAAAATCAATCAAATATTCCTTTTATTCAACTTGATCAAATTTAACTTAATATTAAAGGCCAGCGGCATAATTTGATAAAAGTATTTTTCGGTATGATAATTTACGTTATTTTAACTGTGTCTCATAGCAAATTAAATTTTAACATTCATATACTCGTACAAGCGTTTACTTATCCACTTGACCGCTATTTGGTAATTTTTTTCGTTTCGTGATCATCAATCAACAACGTGATGACTACGATCAATCTCACACGAGTATTTAATTGACTTGGAAAGTTGCCAGATTATAATCCTGGCTTTCCATATGGTTCTTAACAATTATTGACAATGATTAGGCCAGAATCAATAAATAGTCAATCGTTACTACATGAAAGAAAATCAAAATTGGGTCAATCAAGTTACTACATGTTTTTTGCTGGTCACAGAATGGTTTTCCATCCTGCATAGCTTGTATAATTTCGTATTTAGGATGAATAGATTTGTAATGGAATTCGCAGATATTTTCTTTTTATTCTTTGGGTATTTAAATCATCTCTTAATTGAATAGACGTGTAGATTACTTGATAAGAAAGAATTCGTGCTGATTAATAACCAGGACCTCCCTTACTGCTATAATTTTTGACAGTAAATCCTCACTTGACCTTTCTATATATCTGCAGCTTTTAACGCAAGATTTTCATGAAACAGCTCAGCAAATTGAGATCTTGTTTTATGCTATTTCGTCTTAAAATATCAAAATTTCTACGTATAATTCGTGTAGAAAACTTTCAAGAATGACGATTCTGACAAAATTACTATAATTCTTTTTTTTTTTAAATATTGAAACTGGCCTAAAAGTCAATAGCATATCTAATTTTGCAAAATATTGATTGAAGCTGCCCTCTATATCACATAATTTTATGCCTTTTTGCTGTTAGGTTTGTTGTGCATAAGCTAATGATTCTCATATCACGGTCTTGCAGTATTGATCAGAATACATTTCCGCGCACAATTGTCACAGTTTCTACTAGTTGTAGTTCTGTGGCCACGTTAACACTGCTATATTGGTGTATTTGTAGCTTGTATCAGTTGTTCTATCATAATTAGGATATCATCAATTATTGATAATTTTCTCATCATATCAGATGTAAATAGTGTACGGAGTTTCTCTTGTAATATCAGTTATAGATTATTGTATTATTCTTTCATATTTAAGAATCATTTGATAACTTCTCGTCATTCTAATCAATACTGGATATAATTTATTACAATATCAATCATAGCTTTTGCATAACAACTATACCTCTTTATCTATAGGACTTATTCATGAGGTTCTTGCACATAGTTATCTTGATTTATTAGATATTTTTTATCACTGCGTTTATTAATTAAAGCTTGCACTAGCTGTAATGTAAAAATATTCGTATATTTCTACCTTACAACTGCACTTACGACGTACTAATATCTTACATTAAGCTGGCTATTTCTTTCATGTCAATCTAAACTGCAACATTAAATTTAGTGATAATGAACCGGTATTTTCTCTTCATCCTTTTCAATCTCATAGCCATCTCAAGTCTCGACATAGGCGATCAGAATCAGTTTAATTATAGAAATAATCATAAGGAAGGATATTTCAATTCAAGACTTAAACGTCAAGCCAATCCAGTTATAATTAGTGGCAATAATCAAGTAGAACGTAAAGAA